CCGGCACCGGAGCCTCTCGCCGTAGCGACTGGCCGAGTCTGGAGCGCAGCCCGCGACCCCGGACTGTGTTAGATCTCCGGGAACGGGGACGGGAGCGCTGCGCCGGGATCTCCCGGCTCAGGGCGGCAGCGATGGGAAAATCCCACCCGAGCAGGGAGGGCAGTGCCCGCAGCATCACTCTCTGATGTGTGGCAGCATCACTCACGTTAATCGTACACGAAACTCTGGGCAAGGCTTTTCCTAACCCGTGCTTTTTCTGTCTTAGCTTAAAAAACCTCCACTGTAGCATGTTTTGGCCGTAGCTGCCTCCCATTGCCCTGATTGTTTCAGTCTTGCCCATTGCACCAGTTGGGGTAAGGGCTCAGCGGCGTTAAAGGCTCTCGCGCTTTGATCTTTGTAATGTGCCAGGCGTTCCCAGCATGGCTTTGCTGGAGAGCAAAAAGATGAGACAATCCATCTGTCGTCTTTTTCCAGTCCACAGAAGCTTTGGAGTTCATGAAGCGGGACCTGGCTGAGTTCACTCAAGTGGTGCAGCATGACACAGCCTGCACTATTGCTGCCACGGCCAGCGTGGTCAAGGACAAGCTGGCAGTGAGTACGGGAATCAGTCGGGTTTCCTGTCACAGGAGGCAAAGCGGGGTGAATTAGCTTCCAAGGACATGATCCTCTAGACAAACCCCGGCGTACAACCACGAGCTTCAGGTGTCAGACTCTCTCCCTGCTGCAGGTTTGGTGCCAAGCAATGCGTGGTGTTTCCTTGCTGTGGTGGTGAGGAGCCCCTGGAGATAAGTGGAGACGAGCTCCCTGTGCTTTCCCTCTCCCAGTGTGCCGCGTGGGTGGGATACTGGCAGAGTCACTGTAGTACGACATGGGATCTCTGCAGAAGCTGTCAGCCTCAGCTGCTGCTGTGACAGTGCAACCCCCAAAACAGCCAGTCCCCAAACCTGGCTGGGTTCTTGCTGGCAAAGCCTGACCTCAGTTCCCAACAAAACTGTTACAAGGCCTGCCTGTCTCACGGCCACTGGAGGCTAGTGCCTGCCACCACACCTCTCTCCTAGCCCAGCCCTGGCCACACAATCGCCGTGTTAGCACTTTTTTGTAGGGAGCTACACCCTGCTTCCTTGAAGGAGCCTATCCAGAAAAGACTGACCAGTCCTGCTGCTGCAGCCACTGTTACTTATACCGTGCTGCTTTTTCTCTTCAAGAGGACAGAAGGTTCCTCAGGTGCGACTGAAAAGATGAGGAAAGGACTCTCCGACTTCCTGGGCGTCATCTCAGACACGTTTGCTCCCTCGCCGGATAAGACCATTGACTGCGATGTCATAACATTGATGGCAACACCCACAGGTACCACAGAGCCCTACGACAGTGCCAAGGTGAGTGCCCCATTCTGGACCTTCTCTCTGGGGTGCAGAGTCCCAAGCCCTGTCCTCTGGGGGCTCTGCTGCTGTTCCTGCACTGATGGCTCTGCCCTGTGCATCTTCTCCTGCAGGCTCGCCTCTACAGCCTCCAGTCAGACCCAGCCACCTACTGCAACGAACCCGATGGTATGGGAGGGCTGGCCTTTGCGTGGGGTCTGTGGGGTGTCCCGGATTGCCCAGAGCTTCGCCAGTGAGCCTGTAGACTGTAGATGGGGTGACGGTTTATGGCGAGCGGATCTGTCTGTTGCACTGCGGACCAGCTTAGCCAGGGTTTAAATTGCCGCTGCGGCTGGTGCCACGTGGCCTTGTACTGGCAGAGGACCCACAATGCAAGGTGGTCTCAGAGACCCATGTCTCCCTCCTTCTTTGCCACTTGCTTACCCCAGCTGGTGTGGTCTGTAGCATCTTTCCAGTGAAACTTCCCCAAACTGCCCCTGTTCTGTTTGTGCCAAGGAGTGTTATCTCTGTTCTTGTCCCGTACAGGCCCTGCTGAGCTCCTTGAGGCCTGGCTGGCTCAGTTCAACCTAGAGGAGAAGAAAGGGGAGATAGCAGAGCTGCTGGCCACCAGCCCTTCCATCCGGGCTCTCTACACCAAAATGGTAAAGCCCTGCCTGGCTCCTGTAGCGGGCAAGTTCTGACTTGGAATAAGGTGCAGGGAAGCCCTGAGCTGCTTGGGCCCTGGAGCTGGTGGTAGAAAGGGTTGTGGTTGCACAGTAAACTGGCACAGGGATATTAGGCAGCATATTTTATTCTTCTTCCCTGCTTGTTTCTCACGGCCCTGGAACAGAAGTTCCTCTGTAGCTGTCTGATGTGTGTCTGAGCATCTGCCAGCACGTACCTGAGGTTTGGACCCAAGTCTGTGCACCTGCAGACACAAGTACCTTGCGCAGGGTGTGAGGGTAGCTGCGAGGCTCGGGAGGAGAGAGGAGCTCTCTGAAGCGACTCGTGGTGTTTCCCATGTCACTCCCAGGTCCCTGTGGCTGTTTCCCATTCTGAATTCTGGCAGCGCTACTTCTATAAAGTGCATCGCCTGGAGCAGGTAGGTCAGGAGGTGGGTGTCTCCCCCGGTGGGTGGGCACTCCAGCGAAGGAGCTCTCTGATCCAGACCCATGAGGCAGAAGATCCTTTTCCTGGAAGAGGAGGGCTCTGGGCTGCCTTGTCTGTGTCCTTGTTGCTGACACTGAAGTGCCTTGGGGAGGAAAGGACTGGGGATGTGAGCGGCCACTGATGGTGAATTCCCTGCAGGATGAAGCCCGGAGGGAGGCTCTGAAGCAACGAGCGGAGCAGAGCATTCACCAAGAGGAGCCAGGCTGGGAAGAGGATGAAGGTGGGTCAGATGGTTGGGGATCTGTGGGAGGGCTTGTGCAGGCCTTGGCGGGTCTCAGTTAGAGAGGGTGGTGGCTCCTCTTTGCTCCCACAAATTCAGCTCCCAGCCCAGCTGCAGCCAGCCCTGCTGCACTGTCAGCTGCTGCTGTACTTGCTGAAACATCTCTCGCTTCTCTTCTGCCTTCCTACAGAGGAGTTCTTGGGCATGTCACCCCTGCCTTGTGCAAACATGAAATTTCCAGAAGCAGCAGAGAAAGAATCTGCCCCTGCAGCCCTGGCGGGAAGCCACCCCACTGCTCACCAGGGACCCTCAGAGGAAAGCTGGGCCGTCCTCCCTCCGGAGCTGGCCCCGGCAGAGGGGAGCCCCTCTGAGAGCAGTGAGAGCATCTCCCTTGTGACTCAGATTGCAAACCCTGCCTCTGTGCCTGCCGCGCAGCTACAGACTGGAGTACAACCAGCTGGGACCAGAGACCTCTCCCAGAGGCTGCTGGAGGCCACCTTGGAAGAGCAGAGCTGCCTGCCAAAGCCCTCAGAACCTGGTCATCCTTCTGCACCTGCCCGGGAGTCAGCAGCATCCTCAGAGCAACCTGCTGTTCCAGAGCTCAAGGAGGTGGAGAGCAAAGCCCAGGGCAGGACAGAGACTCTGAAAGAGGAAGGACCAACAGATTTACGAGTCTTCGAGCTGAACTCGGATAGTGGGAAATCCACTCCCTCCAACAATGGCAAGAAAGGTGCGTATATGGGGCCAGCACGGGACCTGGAGACCTTCTGCTGGGGGTGGCAGCTTTTGGGGAAGGGGCCTGATTTTGTGATGATGGAGGAGGAGAAAAGGGGGGTTGCCAAAATCACCCAGGAAAGTTAGATCCGAAGACTGTCTAATGGCCAAAACCAAAGCGGAAGCAAATCCTCATGCTGTCGGGCAGGGTCAAGTGGGTCATATCAGATGGTGACACCCTGCTCTCACTATCCCATTCATGGTGCTCCCTCAGGAGAGCGGAGGGTGAGACCCCTCCAGGACCCTGAGGAGGGACCTGTCGCAGCTCTGGTTGACGCTGTTTACAGACCTCTCATTGCAGGAGATTCTGCCTTCAGCAGAGCCTGCTGCAGGTCTCCCAGAATAATGTTTGTGTTGGTTATCAGATTATAAAGCCACTGGAAGCAACCAGAGATCCAGCAAGGTGGCCAAGTGTCATGAACTTGGTCTGTGTTGAGCAGTATCAGATCAGGAAATCGAAAGTCAGCAGCTGAACGGGGGTAGACCCTTGGTCCATGGCCTCCTGAGTGCCTGTGGTCTGTGTAGGATAAGTGGTGCTTCCTTCCCTTAGGAGTGTCCCTGCTGCTCCTCTGCCCCAGGAGGTTGGCCTTTCTGTTAGGGACTGTGACAGTCCCCATATCTAAGTCACTCCTGTCATTCCTCATCTGTTGTGTTTTCGGTGGGACTGAGGTGTGAGACCTCCTGGTTCTCACAGGCTGGAGGAGAACATGTTTCAGCATCCACCTCTCCCACTTGTTCTGAACCAGCCCTCGCTGCCAGGAGAGTGTGGTTCGGTCTGGTTGGGAATGGGGGTGGCTTTCTTGGGCAGGCTGTGGTAGATCCGAGCCCCATGAGTGCCAGGGCTCTGGGAGCCTGCTTGGGCAGCTGCTTGCTTTTGCCAGAGTGGCTGGAGAGCACGTGCGGCTCTGATGGCTCAGGGGTGACGTTTGTGTTTACAGGCTCCAGCACGGATATCAGTGAGGACTGGGAAAAAGACTTTGATTTGGACATGACTGAAGAGGAGGTGCAGCTGGCGCTCTCGAAGGTGGAAGTGTCTGGGGAGGTGAGTCAAGGGGGAGGTGCTTGCTCCAACAGGCAAGAAGGTCACTCCGAGAAACCATCAGCAGCTCCTTGGGGTGATGCTGTGTGAGCTCCGATTGCCCTGGGACACGGAGAGAGCCCGCAGTGCCTCAGCAGGAGGGCGAATCCCTTGGCTTGAGCTCTGCTTCCAGCCCCGGTGCCGGAGCCAAGGCTGGGCAGCACGGTGCAGCAGGATGGGGCTGCTGCTGGCCTGGCAGGGCAGCGCTGCAGCAGGCAATCTGCCTGCCCAGAGCAGCTGGCAGGAGAGTTCCCAAAGGCATGTCTCGCTGTTTGGGGCACTGGCTTAGCTTGGGATCTCACCCTGGGAGTCACAGGTGTTAGCTGGAGCAGAGAGGGGCTGTTTGGAACGAGCAGGCAGGTTCCCCAGGGGAGCAGAGCAGGCAGATCCTGTCGTGAGGGTGTGGGAGCATGAGGATGTGTCAGGCTGGGTGCTGACTCGGGTGCCCTGGGCAGGAGGATCTGTTGCCAGGTGGCTGCTGAGTTACAGAAACAAACTGAGGGATGTTACTTTTGTTTGCAGCTGGAAGATGAGGAGTGGGAAGACTGGGAATAAACTTGACTGCTTCCAGTGTGTGTCACAGGCTCATTTCCACCATCGAATGTGAATTAAATCGCGGACCGGCT